CTCCTTCATCTCCGAGCCTCTGGCAGCGCTGCGCTGCTGCTGGCTTGGAGAAAAAAAAGGTCTGAGCATCCACGCGTGTCCGTGCACACACACACACACACACACACAAAAAAACACATATGTGTGTGCGTGTGTCCTCTCTGTGCCGCTTCTCGGTCATGAGGTGAAGTCATTCGGTGCTCACTGAAGGCATCACCCGAGCCGCATGGGGAGACAGTGAATGAAGCGGGAGCATCCGATGCCGGCATTATCTCCCAGCGGAGCCTATGCCTTCGGATGGACTGAGCATAAAATACAGGTTTATTTTAAAAACATCCATCCAAGTGGGCTGGTACGGGCTCATCAGGAAGGTCTTTTGTGCCAAGAGGTCGTGGGGTTTATGGTAGTGCTCAGACTGTGATTTTTTTTTTTTTTTATTTTTTTTTTATAGGAGAAGGCTTTCACTTGCAGCATTTTTAAGGCAAATGTTGCAGCAGGGAGTGTCTGTAGGACAGACACAAGGTGAAAGTGGCCAGCTGCCCAGATGAAATGAATGACTGTGTCTGCATTGCCTGAGCCAAGCAAACATACAATGGGGAGACTGCCCATTTTTGGCATGAGAAGGTCTGAATAACAACTCGAAACCAGGAAGATAATGTAGAGTTGTTGGATCCTTAGAGATTTTATTTTTGCCCCTCCTAGCAGCTAACCTTTGCTCGAGGGGAGGCAGGGGCTTGATTTTTGTATTCCTGCTCTCGACTTCTCATCCTTTCCTGTTCTGCCTATGCCGAGGAGTGGAAGTGAATCATAGCCCTGCTGTCCTGCCAGTCTCCAGCACGCAGGGTCTACCCCGGTCTTTTTGTGCGGGTGCCGTGACGTTCCAGGGATGCTGTGATGTAGAGAACTTTACTCCTCTGACCACCCAAAACAGATGCTAAAGGCAGTGTGCTCAGACGGCGTTTCATTCTCTTGGCATGTATGTTGGGCCGTATCCTAGAGGCTGGAAAGAATGCTGTCCCTGGGTCACGCTGGGCATATTCAAATATACTGGACCGGAGATTGAGCGCCCTGGGGCCCCTAGGCTGAACCCAGCGTGGGAGCCTTTGAGCTGCAGCTAGTTGTATAAGCTGGCTGTGTGCCAGGATCACCTATGGCATGTTCAGTGCTCGGGGAGGGTGTATGGAGATGGGGGAACACATCTGTTCTGCAGATGAGAGCTGCAAAGTCATTCAGAAATGAGGAAGAGTTCATGACAATGATTTAGCTGGCCTCCTCCTCCTCTCAGCTCTAGACCCCAGATCAATCCCCGTCCCATTTTCCTCAGTAGGAGCTGCAGGAACCACTGTGGCCATAAGGGGATAAAAGTCCTTTTTCTTTCCTCCTCATTTCCCCAGCCTCCAGCTAAATAGCTGTCCAGTCTCCCTCCCTCTTCCCCCCCATGCTCCCCCCATGCTCCCCCCCCCAAGTCTGTAACGGTGGAGCTGTGTTTCACAACTATTTTGTAGCCCTTTTGATTTAAGGTTAGTTTACATGTGAGAAATGACTGACTTGATTGTATCAGTGTAATTCCAGCAGAATAGGTCTGCTGACAAAATTCCTCATGTGGCTACTGCAGCTCTGGAAGAAGAGCTTTTTTTCTTCTCTGCTATTTCTTTTGCCCTCTCCCTCCTCATCCTCTGCCCCTCTCTAACTTTGACAGTGACATCGCGGAGGAGAAAAATGCAACTCTAACCCCACATCCTTACTCTGGAAGCAGCATGTCCATATGGGGAGCATTACCCGTCTAATTATACCACCAGATCTCTGTTGGGAATTTTTCCTGCATAGACAAGTCTTAGGTCTTTTTGGTAGATTGTCTTCCAGCCAAGGAAGAAAATTATGCCTTCCTGCCAAAACGCCAGATGAGAATATCTGGCACTTTGGAATGGGCAGGACTTTTCCTTGCCTAATCTCTGGATTAGAGGATGTTTCTCATGGCTCTTTTTTTTGGGGGGTGGCCTCTAAATTCTCCATCAGCTCAGAGTATCTTACCCTCCAAACACAAATTAGGAAAGCAGGCAGAGACAGCTTGTAGCCGGGATGCAGAGAAGACGGTCCCGAGCTCAGCAGCTGCCTGCATTCAGTGAAAGCAGGATACTTCATGTCCATGTTTTTTCCTTTCAAACCTTTGATTCTAGAAGGAAAAACTTAGAGGGCTCCCTATGTAGAGATCATTTTACTTCACAAATGTGGAGAATCTGTTAGCTTTGCCAGCTCCTCCCCGTAGGAAGGTATGTCTGTAACCCTCTAGCTTCTACCCTTGGGAAAGGGAGGAGTTTGGATGGCCACGTAAGCTGCCTGGCCTGATTTTAATGCCTCCCTCAAGAAACTAGGCCATGGAGGACAGCGGTCTTCTACGAATCCGGGTGCCTGGGTGGGAATCTGCTGTTAATTCAGGAGAGATTTCTGTTGGGACGGGAGCTTTCCTGGCTTGGCCATGCTCCTTCCTAAGGTCCCGGCTCTCCCATTCCT